TGAACTTCGCAAAATCAAATTTTACAAATTTTCGAAAAAAATAGGTAAGTTGTAGTGTACTTCAGAGGAGAGGAAAGTTCTGTCGAAATAACCTTCGACCAATTTTTACCTACTCTGATTGGCCTCTTCTCTCTTTAGTATCTGTGTTACTTTTTTGAGACATAAAGAGAAATACGCGCTTTGTTACGGTATCATTTTAATTGAATCTGAATATAGAGTGTGTTTAAAAAAATCTAAAATATTACAATTTTCAAATATCGATATTTTAAACTTTGTAAATCAAACACCCGGTATTTGATTTTTTTCCAACAAAACTAACTCTTTAAAAAAATTATAAAATGTGATACTACGATTTTTGTTTTGAAATAACCACTGTAAAATAAAAACCAGCGGCATAAATTACACCCCCGCAACCCCTGCGCCATACGGAAAATGTAAAATATACATATTTAAAGCACTTCACTAACGGGATAAAATCTCCTTTAGCACTAGGTAATAGCAATCTAAAGCTCAAGTGTTTATTTATGTTTATACATCTAAAGAATGTCACGTAGAAATTAGTTTGATTTGGATGAGTTTGTCTTCTCAAAACAGAGGACTAAAATTATTAATTAAACCACAATTGAATATTATAATTCTTATTTTATCATGATTATATAAAGAAGTGGGTATTCTCACATTTTCGACAAAAAGGCTTGATTCATTCTTTTAATTTAACCAATAAAAAATTATGACGTCATAAACATAGATAATATACAATGCGAGGGTAAAAGAGAAAAAAAAAGGAAAAAAACGAAAAGCCAAGCCTGGAATCGAACGCGCGACGTCCGGTCCACAATACTCAGACTCGACCACTAAACCACGATCGCGATGCCCTAAGCTAATGGTAAACTACTATTATACCGTGAATCAAATGAACATCGAACTTTTTGAAATGACGTCATCAAATTGTTGGTGGCGATGATCAAAGACTTCAAATATACATATATAGACTGGCTGTCACCCTAGATTCTATTGTATTTCGTGAAGCAGTTCTGTCAACAGAAATCGCCGCCATTGCTGGTCCCTTTCTGTCAATCCTGACCCAACTTAACCTTTAAACGGAACTATCGTTCTCAGTTTTCGAGTTTTCGTTAATAGAAGTAGGAAAGTCTGTTTGTTGGGTGCTGAGTGTGGCTGTTATTTGTTGTTTTTTTTTTGTTTATTGGACCTAGCTCCTGGTCAATGGTGTCGCGTTTGTTACGACAGTATTTAATAAATTAAGTGAACTTTGAACGAAAATGCCAGTAAGCTGCGGTGTACGGTGGTATCGTAATTCGAAACAAAAAAGTAGTGGTCAAAAAGGTATTTTATTTCATCGGCAACACCTTACTATTCCAAATAAACTTGTTAAGATCGTGTTTTAATAACTTTGAAATTGTTGACATTTTAAATTCGGCGCGATTTTGGGACTTTGGAGCAATATGGCGACTGCCGGCTTCAAGTTTTAGGCCACATAGCCGGTCTATACATATTTAAAGTCTCTGGCGATGATTAGCAAAATATTGAGTAGCATTTAACCATCTAAACTTGCGAGCATTAAAATCGGGCCACTATTCAAATATAGCGTATAGCGTGTTTGGACTGGCCAGCACGTAGCCCGGATATGAATCCTATAGAATAGAACATCTGTGGGATGAACTTAAACGAAGAATTAGAGATAGGATTGCCATTGAAGAAGAATGGGCTAATATCCCGCAAGAAGTTGTCGTCACCTCCTTGAGTCCATGAGTAGACGAATACGAGCGGTTATTAGAGCTAGGGAACACCGAATATTAACATCATTTTCTTCTTTAACATAAAAAATTTCGTTATTGAAAAAATTTCTTTTTTGCTCAAAACAATTTCATGAACTTTTTCGTAACTCTGTTTTAAAGACAAACATCTGGTCTTTCTAATGGCTTTTTTAGTTTCTTTAAGCGTAATATAGTTCGGTGGAAAATTTGATTCAAAGTCAGATGTGAATAGTGGCCCGATTTGAATGTTCGCAAGTGTACATGACATTTCTAGTATACATACAGAATTTGACAACAATCGGTCCAGCAGTTTCGAAGATTACGTGTCTAATAAATCCGGATACACACACCAGACAGACAGACAGACGGAAACGGGAGACTACTTTTTTGTGCTATAGGGATCATGAAACGTCGAGAAAATATAAAAGTGGCTATTAGTCCGATGGACGAATGGATTACCATACTTTCATAGCTTACGCTCAGGGAGTAAAAAGTGAAAAATTATAGTCATTATCAACTTTAGATATAGAAAATACTCCACAAAAAAGAAATAATGAAAAACAGAGATAGGATGCAATAATAAAATACACGATGTTCTATTGAAAAAACTGAGATATCGATATATGACAACTGTAACGTCCTAGATTTTTTGTATAAATACTCTGTATAATTAAATGTGATTTTATTGATATCACAGCAAAGCAGGTATCTGTCCATAAAATATTGTAATACAGATTTAGAAAATAATCCTATTGATTTTTCTGAATTGTCAAAGAATTTCAAGAAAATTGAAATAACGTAGCAACGTCGCATCGGAATTGCAAAATTATGGTCATAAATCCAATAAAAATGTATAGGAATATATAATATGTTTTACTTAAAAATTCTAAGTTGTTTGTTTCCCTTAATGAAGAACAGTTCGTATAATTGAAAATACGATAATTTTAGTGTATGCTAGTCAAGAAAATGTACAACTTTAGTTTTTAATTGGTTTTTCTATTTTTTTTTTTCTATTTTTTTTGTTCAGATTTCTTTCTGTAAATTGATCTATAAACATACATATTTACATTAAAATAAAAAATTTAAAGAATAATCACTGGTATTATAGTGAACCAAGAGTTATAAGGTTATATGGCCATCATAAAATCATCCCATTGTATCGAAGTTAAGTTGTTTACAATAGAAAAGGTTTTAGGGTCGTAAATAACGTGTCCACTGCAGCTCGACCGGCTCTTGTGGTTTCGTTCAGGGGCGGCTTTCACTAAATATGAAAATCCACCACTCCACTATTTCTTTACTACCTGCAGCCGCTGAGGGTTCCGAAATAACCACTCGCTTTGAAAGCCGGCCCTATTAAATATGAGCAAGAAATGTTTAGAAGATGATTTATTGCCAACCGGTAAGCTTAGTGCGAACCACACAAAGGGGGTATTTATTTGCGGTCAACTACTTTTATGATGGCCATATAACCTTATAGGTCTTGGTTCACTATATTAAGGTGGGCTTTCCTTAATCTGTGCTCCGTTGGCCTGTCCAGAGATCTGGGAAATTACCGAAGCATAGTAAAGGTTACAAACGTGTCTCAATTTATTGACAGTACTGAAATCACACATTTGAGCCTACTTAGACACGAATAAGTAAATAAAATTAGTTACACTGTATTTTTTTGAAATATCGAATACACATTAACAGTAACAATAATTCTCCGTTTTATTTCTTAATTCGCATATACTATTAAACTAATTAATTCAGTTCAATTCAAACTAGCAAACGAATACTAAATAAATACTAAGTCGGATACACAAATAATTATACATGTTATGGTAAGTAAAATTTTCATTTTTAACCCTTAACTTATTATTATTAAAACACTTTTTGTTTACAGTGAAGGTAAGCGAAGAAAAATGTTGCTGCCTCGGCGGGAATTGAACCACACGTCTCCCGCTTGCCGCCACAAGAGAAATTATGTTCAACAAACATCGATTATTTGATGATACTTTTAGAACTTTAGAACACTAAAAATAAAACATTCGACACAAATCATTTAATGAAGCTAAAACTAATAAGAATATTTTCAAAATAAACAAAACTCAGTATATTAACACATGCTTCTGATGTATCTAAACAAAGTTTTTTTACATTTTCCGACACTGTATCTCAAATTACTGTTTTCTGTCATATTTCTCTTCAGTAAAGAACAAAACTCGAGGAAACGGCCAAATTTTAATTATTATCAGCGGTGCAAAGTTTTTTTTTTTCAAAATTTTGAGGCGCACTGTTTTCAAATGGCAGTGACCTTTAAAGTGCAAATTGCAAAATACAAAAAGTTCTAAAAGTGTACATATATTACGAATATCTAGTAGCAATAATCAAAGTATGAAATAAAAAATTAACACCCTGTACATAAATATTTTATTTTAAGTTTTATTCTTACGACTTTGAACAGTTTCTTTCAATGTTTTCTTCCTTTTTCCATGTGATTAATGATCATGGATGTGGAAAATACACAAGTTAAGATAACGCTTTAGTACTCAAATTTTATAATACCTACAATAGTGAACAGTTTTGCAGAAAATCGTACAGCGGTGAGCTAACTAACGATTTAATAATGGAGAACAGACGGGTACATTTGGCGAAAATCGCCAATAACCTTCTATTCGCACGCACTTTTACGATAATTGCAATTTAGGTCTCGTTACTTGATTATTTGTATTGAGGGGAGAATCCATTATCGGACTTCTTGATTAAGATATAAATCATCACCTAGCAGGGGCAGCATTCCTTGAGAAACTTGAACACTTCGCTTAAATTAAAATGCTGCATTAAAATGCATGCAGCATTTACACAGCTTGACGTTAACGCCTTTCTAGTAGAGAAACTTATTCTTATTAATGTCGTCCCCGAAAAAAAGTGTCTTAAAATCCATTAGGCACGCTCTAAACTTGACCACCGAACCGACCATCCGGTGTCTTCCCCGATTTGCATAATTCAATTTTAATTTTAATTTAATGAGCTGTCCCCAGGCATCCAATTACTGAAATATCATATTTTATGAAGTCGTAAAGCTTATAGTAAATCTCTTTTATTATGGTCATATGAAACTGAGGGACTGGATCTATTTTACAGACAAATTACTATTGCTCAACCAATAAAATTAACATGCTATAAATTAGAGCCGGCAGCACTTTTTGGAAGACTAGTTATTAATACAAAGGACTGAATTACCTTTGAGATTAGCCTCGGATTGATCCATGCCGTTTTGACATCGTTATCCAGTAGCTTATAGGAGGCCTTTGTGATAAGCTTAGGAATGTCTGGTCCAACTGACGAGGGATGGATTTTCATGTTCGGATCTTTCGAATGCACGGATCTGAAATGATAAATCAAATTTACAAAGAAAGCACCACATTTTATTGCCATGTCACTGTTATCACAATTAAATTTGCCCAATTATGTCATTCGCTTGATTTATCATCCATCAAGTTCAAAAGGGGTCCATTTCTTCTTCAACTCTCGTAATGGAATCGCATTTCTGTTATAACAGATTATCAAAGAGACCTATTACTAGAAAAAAATATTTCGAACGAAAATAACAACAGTTAAAAGACAAAACGAAGATCTTATTGTAAACGAAGTTGATGGAGGGTAATTTAATAAATAATAATTTCATATTTTTCGTGTCTGTCTGTCTGTCTTCTGTTGCTGATTTTATCAATTTTTTCACTCTCACAGCAAAATTCAAGATATTAAAGAACAAACAAACAAATATTGACAGGAACAGTGACTTTTTCTGATATTTGCACAAAACACTATTTAAATGCATAGCGTTCAGTTACCAATGTCAGTTATCGAAATTTATAGATATCTATCGTGTCAGTTTAACGAATTCGTACTGATAGTTATCTGACTGAGATGAGGGAATTTGGAATCGTGTTTGAATATTCCCTTGGACCTCGTTCTACATAACACTTACTCTACTTCAACGTACGTGATATTAACACAATATATTAAACACTAGTGGGATTTTATCAGTAATGGTTAGTTTATCTTATAAATTTGGAATTGTAAAGCCATAATCCCATTGTCACGTTGTGGTATTCTATTATTTCTCCAAGTGCCTAAAAGCATGGATATGTAGATAACAAAACCTTAACATTATTGTCCCCAGATAATAATTTCGACTGTATCCAAAAGGAAAACACAATAAATAACACACATGTAACACACACTGTTAAGAAACCCTTCGATTGATACACATAGCACGGCAGTCCATTCGGCGGCCCTTTATACGAACATAAAAAACCTTGGTGACCTGAAGACCCCTATTAACACCAATTTCATTAATATCTTACGACACGCACCCCAAAAATTACTCGCAGCCCCTACCTTTTAATTGCATTAAAGTGCCTAGATTTAACACCGCCGCCAAAATGGAAAGGAAACCACCTTGCACTTTTCCTTCAGCTGTCGCCCTTCCTTCAGAAACCAGCTGATATTTTTTCAATTACCGTTTTCATCCACGCTTCATTAAACGTAATAAGTCAAACCTTTGAAAAGGCAAAGTCGCAGTCAGTGCTTGGCTTGCTGTTATAGATTCCATTCATACTAAGTTAATCGATTATAACGCGTAGAGGGTTGCATATGCCAAGGGGTGAAGGACTTATGCTAAGGCGGGGGGAGTCAAAGATCGCAATGATTTATTGCAAGGGAACGCGTATTCTTGCAACGTGACTTAAATTTTAAATTGTCTTATTGTTTTTTCGGGTATTTGGGGGAGCATAATTTGATCTTGAGATATTTTGTCTTTGATTAATGACGAAACTGAGTGACTTGGACATATGGTGCAACAACAGCAGACGCTGTGACAAATATTGTAAGAAAATTTCGCTAATAGCACAGCAATTATAATAATACGTGTATAACATATAGACATACAAAGCATTTTTTCAAAAAAGTGACATTTTATAATTATTTGGGGTGCTCGACAGTAATCACACTGTTTTATATGTCATCGAGATACTAACGGTAAATACTTCATTAAATGGTTATCTAATTATCACCAAAAAAGTTTGCTTTTTCCACAAATTATTTATTTGTAATCTCATAATCCGTGGTCTTTCGTAACTTTGCCTAAAGTCTGTATCTTTGTATGATTTAGATTACTCAACCTAAAATAACTATCATAATGGTACTGTTGGTATTGTCACATGATGACGTACTTTATGCGATGTATTTATTTGCGATTGGTACTCCTAGATGGTAATCTCTTCAGTCTTCCAATTTTAGAAAGCAAAACTGAAACTTTTCGACTTAGAATATCTAGCAGTCCTTTCTAAAAAAGATGTCCTTTCTCAGTTGGTTGTAATGTTATTTTAGTTCTTTAAGCAATGAAAAAGAATCAACAGCAGATCTTGTAAAAATGGGAGAGACAGATTGTTAAAATATAGACATGCTGTCTATATTTTGTCAAATCCTTTGCAATTTTGGTGATTATTTTTAATTCATATTTTGTTATTTGGAAATATAGCTAATAGCAATAATTCATTTTCTGCCAAAAATTGTATGAAATTTAATTTTTCGAAATTTTATCACAGTGTAAGAAAAAAAAAGGTTCATGAGGATATCGAACCAGTGACAGCGTTGTTAGTGAGATACGCTTTCTACTACGGAATTACAAATCCCTGTTCGAGTTTGTCTTATGCTGATATAAAATGTTATTACATCGGGTGATGAAAAAATGACATATTTGGTCGATGGTACATTGTTAAAAAGGCTCTGCAGAACTCAAAAAATTGGTCGAAAGTTGTTTCGACAAAATTTCCCTCGCTCCCGAATACCATGAATCATATCCAGCGTTTTCGAATGGGTGCACCCTCAGAGACGGCCGTTGTTTCTCTGTCACAGCGAATTTTTCTACCTGAATGGGTACCTGTATCTGTTTAGATTAGTGCCCAATAGATTCATTCGCATTCGTGCTAGCGTGTTGACCAGTTCACTTAAGTTTATGTTTCCGTGTATTAATAATTGCGATTTAAAAAAATAAATTTAAAAACCACCCCCTTCTGAAGTGTGCTTGTTACGCTACTGACTGACAGTCCGTTGTCAGATTCTGATGCCTCACCATGTTCAACTTAAAATAATCCATCTCTAACTAGGTAATAGCAATCTGACGCTCAAGTGTTTACAATTTATGTTTATAGATCGAAAAAATGTCACGTAGAAATTAGTTTAATTTGAATGAGTTGGTCTTCTCAAAGCAGGACCAAAATTATTCATTAAACCACAATCGAACAAAATGTTCTGAATATTATAATTCTTATTTTATCATTATTATTCTTCACATTTTCGAGAACATGGGATGACTCGGTCTTAATTTGACCAATAAAAAATTTGTGACGACGTCTCATCAACATGGATAAAACTAGTCATGGCACAAAAGAAAAGTAGTCACAGCGTACCACCAGTGCAAGAAAAAACAAGGACACGTATATCAACTTGGATTGGTGCAATGTATGACGTCATCAATTTTTTGGGGGAATAAACAGATATATTTTGATTAACAATTTACTATGCTCGCAAAACGTCTGCAAGATTTCAAAGTATTCAGTTTCACAATTCTACATAAGCAAATCTAAAAAATATTAATGCAGTGATAGATTACTAGTATACACTCATCATATTTTGCACATTTAAGATAGGATTTACTCAGCAATATTTTGAGGCGACGTCATCAGTTTTTTAGGGGGATGAGCAAATATACTGGTCAAAAATTTACCATGCTTATGATAACTTTAAACTATCTCCAATATTTCAAAGCATTTGGTTTTGCAGTTCTTGATTAAATCAATAAAATGAATTCACGCATTGATTAATTTTTTTGAGTCACCCTGTATAAGTAAATCCAAAAAATGTGAATGGAATGATAAATCACTATTATAGATTCATCATATTTTGGAAAAAAAATATCTGCAAGATTTCATAGCATTCGGTTTGCAGATTCAAAATTAAATTGCAAAATGTTGTTTTATGATTTTGATTTTTTTTTTCCAAAAATCTGAACGTTTCCGATAAAAACTCAACACGACTTCATAAACTACATGTGTAGGACTATCTTATTTTATGCAATTTAAAACCCATTTATTATGTACACTTTTGAAGTGACGTCATCACATTATTATTGGGGATGATTAGACACATTTTGCTTAGCGTTTTATCATCTATTCTACATATACAGGGTGTTATTGAAATACATGGAAACAAAAAATCTGGTGAATGTAGGGAACCTAAGAAGTCAAATGAACGTCTGTTGTTTTAGTAAAATTTTGAAAGGAAAATTTAACCCCTATCCAAACATTCATTCCTCCACTGATAAATAATGGTTTCACGAAAAAATGTGAAACCTAGTAACTGAAAACTGCCGAGGTGTAACTACTGTTGCTATTAATTTATTGCTAGCAACAAATAAACAATGACAATAATTAATGAACTGACAATTAAAACTTCAAAATTATAATTTAGTCAACCATAAAATGAAACAAAACGTAACGTATGCAACTAGAGCAAGTTTTCAAAATGTCCACCACCATTTCGTATACACGCTTCCGCACGTCTAATCAATGATTGTTGCCTTGTTCATGTAGAGTTCTCCACACCGCAAAAGGTGAAACTCCCACTCGGTAAGACAATCGTCTAATGCTTATACCTGGATCGTTTTCAACGACATTCAAAATTTCTTCTTCGGCATCAAGTGTCCGTTCTGTCCTTTCACGACCACGATCACTAAAACGAGGTTGAAATTTCCCATTTTCTCGTAGACGCTGAACAACGTTATCAAATGTTTTATGATTTGGCAATCTTCGTTCGGGAAATGCTTCTTGGTATAAACGTCGAGCTTCCAAGGAGTTTCTTAAGGCTTGTCCATACATCAGAACCATGTCAGTCATTTCAGAATTAGAAAAATTCATTTTGTTCTTCCAAAAAATTGCAAAAACGTCAAAAAATGATGGGCTAATGAATGTATTGTCATGTTAACAAGCAACAATTTTACCTACTTTAAATTAATATAGTGATCAAATTTACCTTTAACATTTTTGGAATCAGTAGCCCACACGCAAATTTTAACAGATTTTCAATCAATTTTATCTCGAAAACTAAAGGATTTTTATTAGATCAATATTTGATGCATAAATTCTCTACATCATGACCAATTACCTTAAAAAAAGTTTCCATCTATTTCAAAAATACCCTGTATAATAATCATCTACATGATATTCTTAATATAAGTACAAAATTTCACAACAATCAGCCCAGTACTTTCGGAGATTACCTGCCTAATAAAAATCCGGGACGGCAGACAGACAAACAGACAGA